TGTGCAGGTTTTCTTGCAAGTTTTGGCTTGATTTTGCTTCATAATTGTATTACATTTTCTATTTTCTTGGTAGTTTAGCTCTGGTATCTTTGTTCCTGCATTTTGGAAAAGTTTTACATTTTTGGTCATGATTTTCCTACATTATTGTACACAGTTTCCAGTTTTCTTGCTAGTACTTATCCTCCACAGTTGTGTAGAAGTTTGAGTAGATTTTCTACATTTTTGACATGATTTTCTGTATGTGAAGTGATTCAGAAACTATAAAAGAGGTCCAAAATGAAGCAAAAAAGAAGCTATTTTGGAAGAGAAGCTGTCGAGTATTTGTAATGATTTTTCTTGTTGCTTTTATTGTCCAAAAATTGTAATAGCTATCCTAAATCAATGATGTAATTTCTCAATAAATATTAGTTGTACCTGTACTATCCCATCCATGTATAGTTGTGTTAATTACTTGTACTACGCTCCTATAGTCCTATATGTATAGTTGTGTTAATTATTTGTACCACTATTCCATTCACCACTTGTTCCATATAGGAGAGTTATTTGGTCATTTGAGACGATTCAGACATTTCATTCAGCACACTTAGTAAACAGTTTATTATCTCAGTGTCACTTAATCCAGACAGATCACTTAATGCAGTCAGACGTCTTAACTCATTCAAGACTTAATGGAAAAAAGTAAACAACCCCTAACTCTCGTATAACTCTCTCCAAATAGTTATGCGACAATTTCATCTTTTTTTTTGTTATTTTCATATGACTAACACTATAACTTTATTAGTTAGGAAAAATTGACAAAAATAATTCCACCTTTGACCGGTCTGCTCATAATAATCTCACCTTTGCGTAATTGCAGAATAATCTCACATTTGCAGTTCTTCTTCTCTCATTGGACCGTGACCTGTTGACGACCTACTTTACCAGATTTTTTGTTTTTTCTTTGGAAATCTTACAGAAATAATTCAATCTTTCACAAATCTGCTCAAAACAGTTCCATGTTTTATTTTTTCTTTTTTCAACCCAAAAAATTTTCTTTCTTCATTTTTATCCCTAGACACTTACTTTTTAAAACCTTTTTTCATGTTCTATTATAAGAGTTTTTTTGTAGAATATCTTTTCTGAACATATTTTTTGTCATTTTTCCTCCCGTATTTCTATTATTTCATTTACTTTTTTATGCATTTCTTTTTTAATCATTCTCTTTTTATGAAAGATCTTTTTCCCACTTTACTTTTTGTTCTATTTTTTTTCACTTTTCCCTTTTTTCCTTCTTGTTACTTTGCTGTGTGTGTTTTCTTTTTTCTTATTTTTTTTCTTCTTGTTACCTTAATTCCACCATCAATATATATATTTTTCTCTTTTTATGCATCATCGTATTTTTCTAATTTCTCTCATAAATTTCATTGACTATTGGAAAAAATCTTTGTGATAAAAAGATTAGGGAAAAATAAAATTTAAAGAAAAATAAAACAATAGGGGAAATGTAAGAATTGAAAAATTACATATACTCTTTACATGAAGAAGGGTAGATGTGAGAAACATTATTTGAAAAGGGAAAAAAAGAAGAAAAAATCTAGATCAAGAAATCATCAATATTCACTAACATGTCAATAGTAAGCGAAAACGGTAGGGGTGAAAAGGGTCAAAGAAAAAACAAATACTTTTTGGGAAGGTGAAAAGGGGACACTAGAAGGAAAAAGAGAAATTAAGGAAAAGAAAATTTGAAATTTGAAATAAATAAAATAATAACGAGTAATGTGGGATAATAGTATTTAAAAGATAATTAATGAAAAACAGTTTTTAATGTCGTGTAGAAATTTACGTAAGAAGCTTCTCTCTCTAGGGCTCTCCTAGGGTTGATTTTTCCGCCGCCTAGCTTCGGCGTAGGTTGGTGAGGCGATTCTTCTCCTTTGGCCTCTGCACGAAGGTAGTTGTTTGTGTTGCCCTTTTTCTTCTTTTGCAGGTTATCGCTTCCCACGGGGTGCGGCCACGAGGGTTCGTGGCGCAAGGGTTGCAGGTTATTTCACCTTCGGCCACGAGAGCTTTGCTAGGGGCGCCGCAAAGCAACAAGGCAGGGTAACAAGGAAAGATGAACGCAACACGGGGATTGGTACCGAAGAAGATGACCGCTAGCGGTGATTTCGCTATGAGTGCGGGACGAGGAGAGCTATACGGGCTTCGAGAGGGCCAAATTTTGATCGACAGTGGGGGATCAATTAGAGTGGTACTAAGGGTACGGCCTCCTCCGGAACCACCGCCATGAGTTGTATAAGGGGTTAGGGTTTGTGAAAGTGTTCCTTTTAGCTTTTATTATTTTGTCATTTTGTTTCTTGTTACCGTCTATGTTGTTGTTTTTGTTAGTTTGTTTGAGAATTTAGCCTTTCTTTATGTCATTGGGTATGTTTGGATGTATGAGAACAGGGATGGCTGTGTCAAGCTCACTGCATGGTTATCGATTCGTGTTGCTCTTTCAGGGGTGAGCGTCTCTAGATCTCATCATAGGATTTACATTCGTAGTTGTTAGAGTTTAGTTGGTGTAGGATTTGTTTTTTCTTTGATTAATGTAATGATCCTGAAACTTATGACATGAATGGAGACATGTTTTAATGATAAAAAAGATAATTAATCGAATAGTAGTACGTAATACATAAAAAAGGGAAGAAGTAAAATGGGGAAGAAGAAGAAAGAAAAAATCTATTGAGAAAAAGGAAGGCAAAAACATAAACAAATTAAGTAAATAAATGATTTCATAAGAAATTGTAAAAGAAAAAAAATGAAATGTGAGACTATTTTAAGCAGATTTGTAAAATGTGAGATTATTTATGTAAGATTTTCAAAGAAAAGAAAAAAAAACCTAGTATGCTAGGTCATCTACCGGTCAGGGTCCAATGAGAGATGATGAACTGCAAAAGTGTGATTATTTTGGGATTATGTAAAATGTGATTATTATGAACACACTATTCAAAGCTGAGATTATTGGTGTCAATTTTTTCTATTAGTTATAGGTAATAATAAGTTATTCACAAGTAAAAAAAATCATTTTGTAAGCATTATATATTGTATACACAATTATAATTAATAATAATTTTCTGACTTAAAACTAAAAATAAACGGGGAATGTAAAATAGAAATAAGTACTTTTGCTTAAATATGACTATAAATTCACTTGGCGTGTAGATTTGAAGTTTAAGTCTTTTTAATAAAAGTTAAAGAATAGAATAAATTTTGGACTATGAGTATAGTTGAATACCCTCTAATAAGACATTAAAGTAATAATCCTCAAATTTATTAGAATTTCTAAACTATATAGGGACCGAAAAACTAACATCTTTATAATAAATAAAAGTAAATAACTGCATACACGTTTTCAAAAAAACTAAAAGTTGTAAACTTTTTATAAAATATAGCAAAAATGTGTTTACTTGAAAAATAAATTTAAAATTTAAATGAAATCAAACAATATATATATATATATATATATATATATATATATATATATACACATACATACATATATATACATACACACACACACACACACACACACACACACACACACACACACACATATATATATATATATATATATATATATATGGTCGGGTTCTAATGAGAAGACATCTTAACGTGAGAAGTGAGAAGTTACACATTTACCTATTTCTGATGCACTTTTTTTTGCTAATTTGATGCATTTTTTTGCGATAGCAGAAAAGTTCCGATTAATTACGGAAATGCCACCGCGTCAAGCATCACTTTTTAAATATTTTTTGCACTTTCCCGTGCACTTTTTTGCTAATCTGATGCACAGATCTTAAAATGAACGCACCAGATGCATTCTCACTTCTTACGATAAGCACTCTTGTCATTTGATCCTTATTCTCTCTCTCTATATATATATAGAGAAATTCATATATATATTAAAAACGTTGTGTTCTAGTTGTGAGAAATTCATATACAAATATATAGGATGTTTTTACTTGGACTGTAATTTGCTGGTCTGGTCTGGTCTGATCTGGTCTGGTCTGGTCCGATCTGGTTTGGTCTAGTTTCTTTGTATTTTTATAACTATCCAAGTCTGGTCTGGTCTGGTCTGGTCTGGTCTGGTCTGGGAGGAATTACAGTCCAAGTAAAAACATCCCTAGAGCGAGAGAGAATAACTGACTAATTGATAATTTTTTGTAATACTCTTTCTTTAATTGAGAATTTAAGTTTGACAAATAAAAGGTTAGAATTATCTATTTCTAAACTTACACTATACAACATGCTAAAAAATAAGGGTACTTTTCGAGAAGTATTACTAAAATTCGTTAAAAAAGTATTACTAAAATAAAACTTATTTACACAAATATGACTAATAGTTACTACAATGTAGTATAACAAAGTTCAACATAAATTACTATGATTTTTTTGGATAAAAAGATTATTATGGTTTTATTACTACTCTAGTCACATTTTTGTAAACAATCTGTATTTTAGTGATAAAAATGTACGGAGTAATTATTTCAAAAAATAATATAGTCATACAAACGGGGAGGAAGGGGACAACTTGTAGGCGTGATGTCATGGTCCTATCTCATTTTAAGTTGATTCCAGACGAATACGTGATAAAAAATTATTGCGTAACATCAAACATGATAATATCAGGATGATTCCAGATTAAGAGCGTGTTTGGATCTATTCCTTAAAACTGCTGATATTGAAGTGTTTGTGTGAAAGTGAAGAATGTACTTTTAAATGCTTCAAATTACTACCAGAAACATTTTTTTTGAAGTAGAGGAGATTAACTTTTGAAAAATTAATTTGCATTCTACTTTTGCTTTAAAAATAGAAACGTACAAAAGAGAACGATGATAAAGCACGATAAAAACTACGGAGTATAAAAATAGAACAATAAAGAACATATTGCTACAGTAACATTTTTAGTTGAAAGTATACAAAAATTAAAATATTGCAAACATACGAATTTTGTCAAAACAGGAATATGATGTAATTTTAAAGAGGGAATATTTGACAAAAAGTTGACAACCGACAAAAAGATTAAGGAACGGCTGTTAATTTTTTATTCTTGTAAACCTTGCCATTATAGAAGCCAAAAGCTGATGAAGTAACATTCATCTGCTATGTCCTAATTTTTTTTTTGCATTCATCTGTTTTCAAATGAAGTGATTAATTAATATCGATGTTAAGGACGGTGGTTCTCAAAAAGAGGACTTTAACATGGGAGCTCGAGCTTCTGACATAGACACTTCGGCAAAATTTCGTATACACATGTTTTTGGCAGGTAGGTGGTCTCCCTTCACTTCTGCTCCAAGTTTCTTCCCTTCCCTTCCCTTCTGATCATTGCTTGGGCTCTTTGATTTGATCCAGCAATCCAATGCTAAGAATGGGTTTTTCTTATTAGTGAAGGAAGTGAAAGTCAGAGATTGAATCGAAAATGTCTGTGAAGAGCAGGGCAGGAGAGCACGTTTCAACAAGTTTTATTTCTAAAAAATGGACGCTATATCTCTGTTTAGGTAGCTTCTGTGCTGGAATGTTCTTCGCTAATAGGTAAAAAGTTCTACAATTTTTTCACTTCAGATTTGGATTTTAACCATCTGTGAATTTGTTCATGCAATCATGCCCGGAGTGTAAATTTGCTGTAAAGGTAGATCTTTTCTTGGATTGCTATAGAGTGCTTATATGAAGAAGAGTTGTGGAATAGGGTGCTTTGATTTTAAATTAATTGTTTTGCTGTTTTCTTCCGTTTGTTATAATTTTGTTGCTATAGTAATCATCATAACTTTATTTAGCTGTCTGCTGTTTCATTGACTTGCAGTTTCATGTTATTTCTGTGCACTGAGCATTCTCATATGGTGTCGTCACTTTTGTTTAATGGTTTGTTAAGGAGTTTTGGAATTTCTAGATCTAATAGTCTTTTCTTGTTGAGAGCCATAAAAGGAACCGGAATACCGGATGGATTTAAAGTTAAGTTTTCTGTCATAGAACAATCAACAGCCTGTTTAGTTTTGGCTGAAATGGAGTGGCTGAATCTGCTAATATTCTGAAGAAAAAGCCTGTGGTGAAATCAGTTTCAGCCCAAATAATTAAATTAAAGGCTATTCAGGCCTAACTTGGAAAGTTGGAATTACGGTTGCGGTTGGAAAAGGGTTTTCACCGAAGAAGTACTTTTATAAAGCACTTTCAAGAATTGTGGTGGGAAAGTGCTTGTAAGAGTTGCAATCGTTGGATATTGAGGTTGAAAAATGTTGTTTACAGTTCAAAATATCTAAAAGAAAATATTTCAGCCTCAAATGCAAACCCCGAAAGGCAAAAGTCATCAAAGAGTGAATTTTGTGTTATGGTAGATTTTGGCGTTTCAAATAAGCTTTAGTGAAAAGTCATAATATGTTTGGCATTAGTGTTAAGACAAAAAGAAGCTTCTCCTATCGCAAACACAATTCCAGATGGCCTTTATTCTGCATATTTTGCTGATAAGCATAATAAGCCGATTAATGCTACCAAACTAGGTCACAATCTATCTAACTCCATTCTATCTTCTATCACTTCCTATGTAATAAATAACTATTGTCTTAAGCTTTTAATTGATACTTTCCTTATACTTATATTCCAGGCAGTAAAACATCAAAACTTCAGCTCCTATCTAATATTGAATAAAACCATGGAAGAGTTAAAATATCTGCTTTCAAACAGATCTTAGATGTGGTTTCTGTAAAATATCCTTAGCTAGATGCTCATCGTGTCTACTTTTTTATTCATTGTACTTTGAAAAAGTTGAATCTTTGAGCTTATTAATCCCCGTGAGTTTTCAAACTGAAATTTGCAGGATGTGGACCATTCCTGAGTTTCAAGAGATCACTACAACTACTGGTGAAGATGAGCGCCTAATGTTAGTCTCTGATGGCTGCAATACAGAATATGTGAGTTTCATAAAGTTCCGTTTGGAACCCGGAAAGTACTAGGGAGATAAAATAGAAAAAAACATAGAAGGAAATCCAGAAAGAGAGAAAGTCTTGGAGAAAATACAAGAAGCTAAAACTCAAATTTTGTTATTTCAGATATGGTCTATACTTGCGTAACTTGTTTATGTGTATTAGACAGTAAAGACTATGAAATATAAATACATACGAAGTATAAAATTTAAGAAAATTATTACTACATATATATCAGAAACAGTCTCTCTGTGCTTTAGTACAGTGATAAAACTGCGTACATCCGACCCCCCTTTACCCCACCGTAGGTGGGAGCCTTTGCGGCACTGGGGTGATGATGATGATATATTTTATTTTCATTTGCATGTTTCAAGGTAAAACCAAATATCTGAAAATAACTTTGATTAGCACTTTTTCCCATTCCCTAGCATTTTTTGGGATCCAAACATACTCAAAATCTCTCCCCTGTCTCAACTATTAACAAATTAAGTAGTAGAACCTAGTTAATATTGTATTACGATGAACCTTATTCATAGCTTAATCTCTGACTATTTACAGCCAAAGGGTGTGAAGTTGTTATCTAAAGATATCTTTGGAGAAGTTTCTAAAACACATCATGCTATTAAGTAAGTTGTGATCTGCTCCATTTATCTTCATGTTACTCAACTGCTCCATTTACCTACATGTTTCTTGATTCGGTGTCAATTAGAAACTCTCTACACTTATTGCAGGACATTAGACAAAACCATATCGAATTTGGAGATGGAGTTGGCTGCTGCAAAGGCCGCTCAGGATTCCTTTCTTAGTGGTTCTCCGTTATCAGGAGACAACAAGAAGAATGATTCATCCAGGAGGAGGAAATATTTTATGGTTATTGGAATAAATACTGCTTTCAGTAGCAGACAAAGAAGAGATTCCATTCGGGCTACATGGATGCCACAAGGTTTTCATTTGCTCTACAGTCTACAGTTCTTAGCTTAAGATCCGTTGAATGGAGGTTTTGGAAGGTTTTGTAGGGCTTAGCCCCTTGGTCTATATATAAAATATTAAATACGTAGGACATAGTATTATATATGAAGATATTGACTAGCCCATCCAAAGACCCTCCCCTAAGAAAACCCTCCATCCAAAACACCCTTTGCGGTCAAATTTGTAGTGATAATTTTTGTCACATTTGTCTGATACATGACTGATTTAGTATCATTTTTATGCGGCCATATAGGTGAAAAGAGGAAGAAGTTGGAAGATGAGAAAGGAATAATCATTCGGTTCGTCATTGGTCATGGGTATTATATTTGTTCAAAAATTATATTTGTTCTTCAATACTCTCACCTGAGCTTCTTTCAATCAATAAATGAAGTCATTGGGTTTTATGAAAATTGAATGTTGTGACCCGTTAAAAAAAACTTAAGCTACTTAGCGGTCTTGTTAGTGTACATAACCAAAATGAATGGTATGATCTGTCTCAACTAAAAGTTTAAGCTAATAGTTGACTTTACATGTATTTTTTATATCATTGTATCTAAACCATTTAGTGTTCTAGAAAATGCTAATGTTGATGTTTTAGGCAATGTTTAAATGTTCGTGGAATTGTTCATTTGTCATGCAGTGCAACATTAGGGGGTATACTTGATAAAGCTATTGAAGCTGAAGACGAGAAATATGGAGATATCTTGCGACTGGTATTACTTACAACCAATTTTTTTCATCTTATGCTGATTTTAAAAGGTTAAAATCAATCTAGGATTTATTTGGTTATTATTTATGCAGGATCATGTTGAGGGATATCTTGAGCTGTCTGCTAAGACAAAGACTTACTTTGCCACTGCTGTTAAGATATGGAATGCAGACTATTACTTCAAAGTTGACGATGATGTTCACGTAAATATAGGTAATTGGCTAGGCACAGTTTTTCATTCTTAATTTTAACAACGAAGCGTAATTTAATTTTCCTGAAATCTCATTGCAGGAACACTAGGTGAAATATTAGTGAGACACCGCAAAAAACCGCTTGTGTACATTGGGTGCATGAAGTCTGGTCCTGTCCTTTCACAGAGGTTTGATTCTGCTTTCTTGAATGCCGCTTGGCCGGAATAAACTGGGAAGTGGGAATGGAATCCAAATCCCATGGAAAAAAGATTAAGGGACTTTAAAATTCTTTTTTTTGGTTGGTTGGAATGAAATTACTGAAAATTATAATTATCTGGTAATTGGTTAATTGTGGGAAATTAAATTCAAAGACCATAATGCCACTTTATATATACATGTGGTAGTGTGGCTACCACTCAATTTGAGTCTAGAGGTAATATAAGTCTTATCGAGTTAAAATGTTGTTCCCAATAGGAGCACAGAAAAATTAATATCACGGGTGAGTCATATAATTATTTTTATCTGGGAGCAGTGATAAGGACAAGTGAGGGAAAAGATGCTCCAGAGGGAAATTTATTCCTATATACTACGTAGCAAACTTTGGAACTTTTTTTACTGTATAATTACGACCCGGAAATGATAAATTGAGCTTAACGTCTTAGTTTCTTGTGATAGGGGAGTAAGATACCACGAACCAGAACATTGGAAATTCGGGGACAGTGGAAACAAGTATTTTCGTCACGCTACAGGGCAAATATACGGAATATCAAAAGACTTGGCTACATATATTTCACTTCACCAGTTAATATGCATTTCTTTTGATCTTTCCTTGGGTTGTCTTTCTCACACTTTTATTTTATTGTCTACAATACATGTAAGAAGTAATGTTGTTAGCCGGGCTGATGCAGGCATGTACTGCACAAGTATGCTAATGAGGATGTTTCATTGGGATCTTGGTTTATTGGGCTTGATGTGCAGCACATTGATGATAGGAGATTATGTTGTGGGACTCCGCCTGGTAATTAGTGCTTACTGACTTTGTCATATATCAACATTTCCTATTAGTTTATTTCCTTAGTTGTCTCGTCTAGAGTATATATGGAATTATAACAAGAAAATAAATTGGTCTGAATTTGATAGATTAAAAACCCTAGTAAAAGTTATGCCTAGCACAAACTCAAATATCACCAAAAAATTATACTTTGGATTATTATTCAATAATGAAGGCTGTTACTCCTGTTCATTTCCTCATTGTACTGGCACACTTAATTGACTGAAAAGAGAGAAATACAGCATGTCTTTTTAACGTTTTGAACTCCCTTCGTTCTTGAATAGTAGCCCTTTAAAAAAAATACTCCGTATCAAATAAGTTTCAGTTTTTCCATCATTTGCAATGGAGCCAAAGATTCATTATTTTTTGGCTTGAGATTATGATGGAATAAAGCAAAATGGCTCACTAAACTGTCTGCGCTTCTTTGTTATGGAGCAGCAGTCAGTCCATGCAATCTTGGACGCGATTTTCACTATGGGTCATCCGGAAACAGTCTCTCTATGCTTTAGTACAGGGGTAAGACTGCGTACATCCGACCCCCCCTTACCCCACCGTAGGTGGGGAGCCTTTGCGGCACTGGGGTAAATGAAAATGATGATCAAATAAGTTTCAGTTCAAATATCAAGAAAACATTACTTGATTAATTTCTATCATTACAAACGTAGAGTAATAATTCTCTACCATTACACTTCATCCAAAGTAGTTATGACTTTCTTAGTATGCATGCAAATGCCAAAAACCACCGCTAAAGAAGAACGTCATCGAGAAGCCAATTTTTAGTAGCCATTCACTTTTTCCTCTGCACATTCTAATTGCATACAGATTGTGAGTGGAAGGCCCAAGCAGGGAACATTTGCGTTGCTTCATTTGATTGGACCTGCAGCGGGATATGCAATTCCATTGGAAGGATGAGAGAGGTGCACCAACGTTGTCATGAGGACGAGAATGTTTTGTGGAATGCTGCTGCATTCTAACTGAAATACGGCATATTGATACACAGAACTGACAGAAGTGGGACGGGAGTCTTGTAGCAAAGGAAGAGAAAGTAGCTGTACAAATGCAATCTTATAAGTTCATATCATAGTCTTGTTGCTTTAGCATTCCAAGTTATTTGTTCTTGCAAAGTATCTTTGGAATGAAAAGAAAATCATTACATATAAATATATAAAAATAAGACAATTCACTATTGGTAGTAGACTTGTAGTAGACTAGAGCTTGTCTTGTGTAAATCTTCATATTGCAGAGGAAAAGACAATTTTTTTCTATTCCACCGCACCATCACTTGAAATTAAAAATTAAAAAAAAAAACAATCCATTAATTTTGTTGTATAAAGATTGTAATGTCCAACCATTCATAGTCGTATGAGAGACAGATATATAATTGGCTTGTCCTAGACAGCATCTTGTTAATGACATTCTTCCCTGAGACTCTGAGAGCTTGGAAAGGACGCACTTAACCTGTGAAGTCATGTTAAAGTCACAGTGACCCATGCACTTTTGTGAGTTTTGTCCCTAAACAACTTTTTAAATTTAAGATGACGTGATTATCATGGTAAAGCTCCATAATTTTGAAAATATTGCCGAAGTTAAGGAAGCCATTTAACCCTCCTTGGTTACGATGATAACTAAATTGACACGTGATTGCAACTACAACACATAACAATGACAAGTAGATGATCATTGGGAATTTGGGATCATAATAAATATCGATTAGTTCAAACTTTGAATAAAAAAACCAAAAAAACCGGACCAGCAAATGGCTAAGTTAGCAGTTTGGGTTTGATCATTGGGAATATTTCCAGTCAAGTGAGGGGCAAAACTGCAGATGCATAGGGGGTGGGACCTGGTGCAATTCAGGTTCCGGAAGGGCCAATTCTGGATATAGGTGCAACTGGAAGTCTGGAACCTCAGTTGCGTAAACCATCTCCTATTCCGGTTCAGGCTTTTCAGCCTATTTAGTATTTAAATGCGATCATTTTTTGTCCTATTTCAGAAGAACTGGAACCAGGTTAGACTGGTTTTGAGTTCAAGTTCACGTACATAACCAAAAAATGGGTGCTGGTTTGGTTCCTTTACCCAATCTCTGGTCCAGTCTGGCCTTGGAACCGTCACGGGAGAAAACTTAAATCAATCAAGTATGGCAAAGAACAGATATAGTAAGCCTCTACTATGAGATGAGGAAAGGAGATTAGATATTTATCATAGAGTTTGTCAGGCTCTCAGTTGATCAACATGGATGTCAAAACATCAAAAGTTTCAATCCTACATGTAGAACACTCTTCTTTACTTTTTGGCGTAGGTAATCAGCATGGCATTGTCATCCATGATCTTGTAGCCTTGGAGTGCCTGAGATGCCACTGTGGATTGCATCTCATCTCCATATTCCACAAAAGCAATTCCAGGTTTTGCTTCCACCATCCTAACTTCCTTAAAGCCGGGGTATTGGCAAAAAAGCATTTGGAGCATCATAGGAGTAGTCTGATGAGGAAGGTTCTGGACAAACAATATCTTATTTGGCGGAGCAGGAGCTTCCGGTAGAGCAGCACCAATTGCGCCACCCATATAAGGTATCTGCGATAGCTGCCACAATATGAAAATGGTGAGCCAGAGAGAGCAATGAGAACACACTTCCACTGCAGAGCACAACAAGAACCTATTTGGTGGGATCCATTTTTGGCTTATCAATCTTAATACCCAGTTTTTCCTGCAATCGCTACTTCATACTTCTATTTTTATGTATATGAATTAATTGCTTTGATTTATTTCACATACTCGGTATGTATTTCGATAAAATTTTAGTAGGCAATTCAGTAGATTGAGCCACAGCTTTAGCGCAATCTCCCAGTTTACAGAACGAGCCATAGCTTTCAATATAAACTCAGAAAGAAGAGAATGCTTACAGGAGGGGCTACACCATAAGCACTGCCATAGGCAGGATTGACACCCATTCCTGCTTGATTAGCAGAATCATGCTGGTGGTCCTTTTTCTTCCTTCCTGCTGGATGAAAAAGGAAAAGTAATTCAAATGTTACAAAAAGCAACATAGCATAGACATTTTTTATGCTTCATATTAAACTTAAAAGAATGTACTTCGTATAACTTATTAAGCATACTTTGACCAAAAGAAGGAACCAAAACATGGCATCGCTTTGATTAGGATAGAAATATTAGCTTATTTACATACAACGGCATTTTGGGAAGATTGTATTTTTTACTGTGACTTCGAAAGTTACAAAAAGCCATTTTCATAAAATAGAGATTTTAATGCTGAAATTGGTTTCATATTCACAAAAACGATACAGCAAATTCAATCGATTTAATAATAAAGACATATCGCTAAAAATGTTGTAACTTGTTTACCTTTGTCTTCATGCTTCTTCTTTTTCTCTCGAGGTACAAAAGTACCATCAGCCTTTGCTATAATGTCCGACTTCGTCTTTGCAAAGTTTATCCGCTGTGAAAATAAAAAAACACACGCATGAATAAATAAACCAAAACTTTGAAAACGGAAAACACCACCCATTGCTAGCCCAAAACTAATGGTAACAGAAAATGTAGAAATACTGAGGAGCAATCACTAATAAAAAATTAATCCTTTATCAGGGCAACATTATAAGTAGCTGGAATTAGTTCTATTTGTTTTACAGAACTAAAAAAATTCAGCAAAGCAGAAGACAAATGAGAGGCAGAGGCTAAATACAATTGTTGTAAACAAGCATTAGAAATTCACCATAGGCTTATCATAGAATGGGAAACCATGCATTTGGCGAAGTGCATTTGTAGCAGATGAGACATCTTCAAAGACTACCCAAGCTTGACCTTTGTGTTTTAGGGTTTTGAATGCCAAAACCTCTAAGATCTTCCCGAATTGAGAGAACACCGCGTGAAGCGACTTCTTCAACTCTAAAAGAATCCCAATTAATAATCTATTATGAACAATCAAATCAAATACAGCGCACACAGCGAGAGGTGTGGGGGATACCTTCGAGCTTGATTTTCTCATTGAGGTTGTTAATATAAATTGTCTTGTTTGGGGGGATATCGCTGGCAGCTTGATTCACCTCCGCCATTGTTGGAATGCTGCTACCTCTTTGGTGTCAGCCAAATTTGAACAGTATTTGAAGTTCAAACAATCTCAACTTTCCCTATCTATCTAGCCAGCTATATGTAATAATGCAATTTCCTTTGCCACTTTCCCCTTATTGGAGAAAAAGAAACAAAAATAATGGTTGTTAGCCTCTCCATTAAAGAAAAACCTATGCTGATTGATGAAGTGCATGTTCAAGATAGAGCATACCTGGATCGGATGTGGAAGAACTCTGAACTTCGGAATCGGAGTCCAAAAGCGGAACAACTGTGAAAACCATGAGATGTTTTAGGGTGTCTGGTAAACTGCAATTGAAGAAGAAAAATAATTATTTTGGGCTCGCGTCCAAATGGCCCGCATACGTAAACCAGGCCAATATTGCAGGCTTGTAGTTGTATACATAGTAATTATGGGACAAATGTTGATATTTTTAGATAAATGAAGACGAATTAGACAATAGTTTTATATATAGATAGATGAAGACAATAGTATTTATTTTAAGATTGGAATTGAATTGGCATTAATAATTCATTCCTTTTTTATGTAAACTACTACCTCCGTAACACAAAGATCTTCCTATTTTGACTTTTCACGATCTTCTAAGTTGAACTTTGACTCTAAATATCTACATATCTATATTTATAAAATTCATAATAAATTAACATTCAAATAATATGTTTTACATTGAGGTATATGAAATAAATTTTTGATCATAACATAATGTGAGTTTTGAATAATTAATGGTCAAAGTTTATAAAGTTTGACCCAAAATAGTTAAACTGAGAATATTCTAGGGTTACGGAGGTAGTATGAGATAATAAATAGCGCAGATGATCAAAAGAGTCATGCGATATTTGCAGAGAACTAAGGACTACATGCTCACATATCGGAAAAAGATTGACTTTAGATAATTGAGTATACCAACTCTAATTTTATTGGATGTCAGGATAGATTGAAATCAATTTCAGGTTACATCTATATTCTAGCTGGAAGATATATACCCTAGAAAAGTATCAAGCAAACTTTTATAACTATTTCCACCATGGAAGACAAATTTATACTACGTAATAGTTATAAGATATTCAATTAGGTATTATGTCTAAGAGATTTAGTTAGTGGATTGTTGTTGTGTGACAATATGTCAGCAGTCCTCTCTGCTAAAAATTGCAATGTTTTTCATAGAGGAAATTAGCACGAACTCCATGGTCGTGGAGTTTTCTTGATTGTTTTGGGCATATCTTGCAGCTGTTCTCAGAGGATTTGAGCTTTATTCAACTAGATAGTTTTATTTTTTTCTCTTTATTTGTGCCTTTTCACTTAGCTTTCTCCTTTCTCTAGCGCTTTTATAATTTCTCACTTTTAATAAATTCTAATAATAAAATTTGGAAAGAGTTTTCTCGCTCTTACCTCACCGACTTTGGTGGATTCCTTTCTCGAAAAAAAGTCTATGGTTGTAGATATGCTTAATGAAGGTACTGTTAGGAAATTGATGTAACGTACCTCGAAAATACAGCAGCGGAAGTTAAAATTTTCCCAAACAGATCTTCCCTGATTATGACAAAACAACGAATATGATAATAATAATAGATCTGAGTTAGAATTTACAGATCTTTCAGTCCAACGGTGATAATCCTTGACCTTAGGTATCCACGTGATTTTTCCTTTCCGAACGAACGGTTATATCTCCCATAGAGAAAGGCTAGGAAATCTCTTCGCAGGGAAATAAACTGGTAATACTGAATCTAGAAAACTAGTCACTAATTATGAAGGAGGTGGATGTATTTATACTAGTTCTAAACCAGTTTCCCAATCCCAATGAAAGTCTTTCTAATTAATGAGTCCTAATCCCGCTAGGACCAATACTCTTTATTAATTAAATAAGTAGATAAAACAAACAATAATAATAATAATAACCACAATAAAGAAATGGTCTTACGCCACTCTCTATTTATTATATATATTATTATATAGTTTATTTACTTTTCTTTTTAATTCTAAATTACAAAAGAAAATATCAATTTTATTAAATAATAAATACTCGGGGTACATCTCAATTAAGTATAATAAATCTAATTTGTCACACTTAATTAATTCTATCAAATAGAACACTCCTTCAACATCATGAATTAAATATATTTAATCTAATTAATATTTAAACCATTTTCAGTATTATGAATTAAATATTATTTAATCCAATTAATAATATTTAATCCTTCTAACAATTCAATCGGAAGGTATAATCACTTGTTGTGTGACCCATAGGCCATAGGGCCTTATATATTAAGCACTAATCAAATTAAGGTATTAGTCGAATCCCTAGACGATTTACCAGACAATCTTAATATATAAGGACGTTTGCGAGGACTATTCACTCCCTGTAATATAGAGCTCATAATGATACAGTCCTTTCATTCAACGAACATTCAATTAAGTCTAGAACATGATATTGTGTCTATTCCAATAACTTTGTTTCTGTCTCTCAATCTTTCTGGATGATCCATAACAATCATATTCGATATCCAAAACGAATATATCTCTGCATTGGCCAATGATTTTATGATCCATCTAGATATGAGAAGTAGAATGTTCTCTCTTAATCTATTACGAGGAATGAATCCTTTCTTGGCTCAACTACTACTCCATGTGCTTCGTGATGCACCCAACACATGCCGTATCTACCCCGACTGGAGTGCAAGCGTTGGTCATGGTCAAAGTACATCACTCTGCACATGTAGTACGTATGGACCTCAAGTCGGAGGACTATTACACTACTCTATACGCCGATAATCCCATAGACACATGAATAGAACTTATCAAATGGTTTCTCGATGGGTATGCCAATATTCTCTAAAATATCTGTGACCATCATGAATTACAAGAACTCATAGTTGTGAGATCAACTATACTTTCTAAAAGTATGATGCAGTCCACATACCAATCTGATCGCATATCATCAATATCCCATTCTTGATGATCATTGATTGGGACTATTTTATGACCTTATGTTATATCATATAAGCTCTCACTTACTTATTGACAACATAAGTCCAAGGGAACACAATTATGAATAAGATATTGACAATCGAAATACTTAATCATCAATGTGTAATACCGTATATATCAAATATATAAAACTTAATGTGATCAAGTACATATATCTCTAAAAGGTGATTGTCGCTAGGACATATATACTAACAGATATCACCTAAAGTGTTTCATGAACATCTTGCTCACATGAGTGTCAAATCAATTGAGGATTATGAGTTTTAGTGGGAGTTTACAATATTTCTATATATGTTTTCGGACAAGTCTTTGGTTAATATAATTCTTACGGTTTTTTGAGCAAGCACAATTTAAAGTTTTACGTAATCTTACATGCATGTGTATGGTTGATCTCAATGTGAAACATTTGGAAATAGACACCCTATTTTAGACCACACTTCATGTTTTCTCATCATACACAACTATACTTCATTCATGTTGTTGATTATATTAACGTATGTGATCTTTGATGGGTCTAGTTATTCTAATATATATATATATATATATATATATATATATATATATATATATATATTAAGGAAAGACCTCACTGGTCCTATATTGATATGATTAGTGGACTGGAATGGTAAAAAACTAATACAGTTGAGAGGTTATTTAGATTAATGGGCTCACAATAATTCACAATATTGAGAGGTTACATACAACATTCATAATATAATTATTGGGTTTAAGTGTATGTTATATCTTATCTTATGATTAAACTCAAAAATAGTGTCTTATGGATAACTTAAGTAGGCTAATACATTGTCTTATAAAGTATAAGACTCAAATGTGTAGATACCCATACATGGGCTTAATCTTGATTAATGACTGGCTAATCAGAGTAAGCATTCCCTAGAAATATAGAAATTTAATCAACTGAGGATCTGCAATATTGGTGAACTATCAATTAGTGACCAAAGAGATAACTTTGAAATTGATAACTTTTATGAAGAAAAACATAAAAATTAGCAATAAAATAAATATTAAATATATAAATAAAAATCTATTACAAAGTATATATTAGGTCATTGATAAATATTATATCTGTTCCACTAACATTGGGACATGGGGAGTTGATGTGGTTATTAAGAAAAAGTGCTTTTATATGGTTGACATTAAATTAAGTAAGAAAGATTTAGAACCACATATATTTACCAAAATTGATAAGGGACAATCTTAGTGAGACAGATCGAGAAGGAAAAATGAGACAATCTTAGAGGGACAAAAGAAGTAGTTTTGAAACATTTGGATCCTATATCGACAATTTTCATCTTTACGATCTCTGATTGATAACTAACTTATCTTTCAAATTCTAAATTGATAGAATTCTGTAAATATGAGTTATGATCCTAGTTGGACACTACACACTTAGAGAGGAATCTCGTAGTGTGTATCAATTAAAAGATACAAACCCTAGCTATCGCCGATCGAAAATGATTGAATCACCCAATCAAGTACGTTGCGCTCAATAATTTCTCTAAATGATTTTAGTATAAGGAATAAAGTCTTAATGGTGGATATATTAATACATATACTTAATTTTTCTATTATACTTGAAATATTCTATTTTCTTACAAATAGGTACACCCTATTTTATTTTATGATATTAGTTGATATATATTGTACAAACCAATACCTATTATGTAAAATATGAGTAAACTAATCCGTTGTATTTTTGAAAAATACAAACGTTGCAATTAGGAATAGTTACTTAAATATATCAACAATCAAAGTCATAAGTAATGAACATAAAAGTCCAATTAAATTATCATTACTTAAAAAATTAAACTAAAAAGAATGAAATGATCAAATACCTTATTTCTAAGGTCATTATTGACATGTTGGAATTCTATCCCGGCTGTTTAAAATATTTGTCTCACATCGGAAAACTATAAAATAATAAAACACTAAATAACACGTTGAGCTACTCCTCCTACCAGGTTAACCTTTTAGGATGGAACCTCGGGTCTTAACATGATATTAGAGACAAGTCTGGTTGTGGTTTGACTGTTTGTTTAGCACCCGTGATTAAGGGTAGCTTGTTAAGGTTCTGTTTGGTCCATTTGTACACCCCATTATTGTCCGATTTTGCTGAGGGAGCATGTTAAGGTATTTGTCCCACACCAGAAATCTATAAAACAAGAAAACATTATATAAGACATTGAACTACTCTTCCTATCAGGTTGACCTTTTAGGATGGAACTACATGTCTTGGCATGGTATCAGAGTCAAGTCTGGTTGTGGTTTGACTGCTTATTTAGCACTCATGATTAAGGATAGCTTGTTAAGGATCTGTTTGGCTCATTTATACACCC